CACATGGGGCCACTGTGGTATCTAAATGGGTTGCCCTAGCCCACGTTGCCCTTAGTCTGCCCACATGGGGCCAATGTCTGCATGTTTGCTGGGTAACTTTTATTTCTTTTTCTGTTGTCTTGGTTTTGTGTGTTAGCACTGCTAACGGGCCAGCTGGGTTTTTCCAAGGTCATACTGGCACACGTTTGAAGTGTGCACGGTTTATTGGTACATTTGCAGTGTCACAGAGTATGAATTAATGTGCATATGTCACTCTGAGTGGAACACGTGTATTTGTGAGAGACATGTTCAGTGTGTTAAATGCCTATGTGTGACCGTGCGGAAGCTAATCCGATGAATTATGGCCAGTACTATTAAATGTGGAGCAGTGCTAACTGTTTGTTTTTTGTTTTGTGCAAATATTACTCTGTTTTTGTAATAAAGAATCAATTTGTGTATTTGTATTTGTGATTCGGATATTGTCAATCCTCTGTTAAGTTTACAATTACTAATTTAAAATTTCGCTATAACAAAACGATCCTTATAAATTTTAAGAAAAAAACGTAAACTATACATGTCTGGTGTTTTTTGATTCAGTTTGATTATCAAACTTTAAAGGCCAACCCTTGGGTGCACGCTTGTGCACATGAGCGTGAACAAACATTTACTGAAAAAAAACTTAAAATAACTAAGGCTTTACCCTATTAAAGTTTTTAAAAATGTGTTTTTGATGCTTGTTACTAAATGCTGCTTACTAGTTCCTATCCGGAGTGCTCCCCCCAGAGACAGCGGGCAAGGTCCGTGACAATCTTCCTGACATAATCATGTTGCGATAATATATGTTACCCCGTCAGCGCCATGTATAATGGCTGTGTTCCGCGGTGCATGTGGGGCAATTAATATGCTTTAAAAATTCTTTATTAATTCCCCGTGCTGTAAAACATTGCTTGACCATATCATTTCGCACCTAAAACATGACAGGTCTTTTGCCGTTAGAAAATAACGCATTTGCTTAAAGTAACACATTGACAAAAATGACAAATGTTTTTCCCAGTCAGCACAAGTACGTCGGAGCTACGTCGCTGATAGGTCTTTTTAAGGTCGGCATTTAGCAGCTTTTCAGTCGTTTGCACATTGGCACTACGTCGCGCCTGCGTAACAGCTACGGTGCTGATAGGTCTTTTTAAGGTCGGTATTTAGTAGCTTTTCAGTCGTTTGCACATTGGCACTACGTCGCGCCTCCGTAACAGCGATGAAAACGCGACGTCTAGGCGAACTCCGCGATGATTCCGCGACCATTTCCCGACCTAATTACGGATATACGCGATCATTTCCCTACCCTTTTTTTATCCGTAGGCGATCATTCCCCGACCCCCTTTTTAATCCTATGCGATCATTTCCCGACAATCTTATTGTACAATTACCAATAATTATTTACGTCTTCTTTAGTGTCGAACACGTATTGATACTAACATTTTATTTATAATATAAAGAAAACACAAAGGTGTTCGTTCAAAGAGTTTTTATTAAAAAAAAAAAATATTAAAAATGCACACAATATATACAAGATACACACTAAAAAGATACACACTGGTGCATTTCCAGGACTGTTACCCAACAAGAGATGTATCTGGGTGACAATTTCAGTCAGGTGTTTGACCTGGCTCTGCAACTCCCCCAACATCTGCAGGAGGATATTCTCGGTCGCTGTAAGGACAATAGAGAATACAGCATTAAATATTTATACATACATCGAGACAGATGTGGATGTAGATTTGTTTACAACTTACAAGTGCATTGATTCGGTACAAGCTGCCCCGTGGGTAGCCGAGTCCTCGAAGGACTATCTGTAAGAATAAGACAGTAAAAAATTACTCTAAAACCCTAACTGATCATAATTACTATCTTGTATCGTATTCTGATTCTTTGTGATTGAGTGCAATACTGCACTCTCTAAGTTACCTCTCATTCACACAAATAGCAATTCCATAAAAACAAACAAACATGATTGTTCTGAAATTTTGCTTTGTTCTCCTGACAGGTGCTGAGGGTGTGGGACAGCCGGAGAGGATGTT